AATGTATTGCTAATCTGAGGAATGTTAATTATTTACATGTCACCTAAAAATTAAGGCTCAGAGTTCTAACTAACTGGAAAGTATGGCTTTGGTGTGATGGAGGAAGGTAAAGAGAAATACTTAATGAAAGGTCTGAGGCATGGTTATGCATTTTTGATGGACATAGAAAGAAGGTTTGAAGGCTAATTTGAAAGTGTGAAATTTTTGAAGGTTTTGTATGTGATGAGAAGGAAAAAGAGAAAGGTTGAAAGAAAGTTGAATGCATGATAGGTCAGTAAGCTGCGACAAGTAGAATAGGGAAACTGAGCAGAAATCCTATCTTCCCTAAACCAAGGACACTTGGGAGTAAATGATTTGCATTTGCCTCCCTAAACAAAGGTTAAATAGTTCATGTCAATTTGATTAGTGTCATTTGCTGTCCACACCCAAGGACAAATGAAGTTAGAAACTAAGCCTTATTTTGATTAGTTCTTTTATTCAGGTATTTTTTAAGGAGGAGGCAACCCGGTCCCTCCCTGCAACATGAGTAATAGCTCCTCCTCAAACTCAACTGTCTTAGAATGTATCTAGTTGTAGTGTCTATTTAGTCTTGTTTTCTTTGTTCAGTATGAGTACCGTTTCTATCTGGATGAGACATGGATCGAGAATCCTGTCCTGGGATGTGAGAAAGGGAGGCCCCCACATCTGTTCCTGTCAGGCCCTCATCAGGGGACTTGGGCAATGTTCCTGTTATCTGCTCAGATCCCAAGACTGTAAGAGTACTTGTTCACTGAAAGGGTATAATTATTTGTTCATGTAAGTGTGGAAGTCTGCGAAAAAAAAAAACACAAACAAAAACATGTTTGATTTAGGGCTGAATGCTCTGACAGATAGCAAAACGCCCCAAGCGGCCTCTGGGTTCTTTTCCCAAGGTAGCTTGCTCTCTGTCAGAGGTGGAATTGGCCCGCCTAACTAGTAAAAATTTCTGTCTGTTTGTTTGCTAGGGACTTTGATTTGCTCTGTGATTTTTCTGTGTTAGGTTGAAATTTTGGAATTCTAGAGTAGATTTAAAGGTATCTGTGGCTTTTCCGGTCTGATTGGGACATTCAGGGGCGGGCTCACAGCTCCTCAGGGCAGAGAGATTTTATGGGCCCTGCCCCCTGCCTGTGCTGAATTAGATAATACAGGCCAGTGTCATTTGGCTTGCTGGTTAAAGGAAGACAATGGGCCCTGGAATCTGTAAAGGTGGGCAGGAATGAAGCTGGTCAAATGTACTGAAAGTGTTCGGTACCTGTTGCTGCTAGCAGAGGAAGGGCTGATATCCCCTTCCAGTGCACTCCCTGGGAAAGGCCTGATTGCTGCTCTGCCACAGGGGACAAGGATGATGGCAGGGGCCTGGTACCCAACACACTGCCACAGGAGCACTTTTTCCAGTGGGAACAGAGAGAAAAAGACTGCCAGACGAAAATGCTTTCCTCCCAGGCTCCCCCTGTGGCGGGAGCACCTCCACTGGTCACCTGGGGACCTGCGCTGAGCTCCCCACCTCTGCCTATCAGGCTCCCATCTCCTGCACCCTCTGCTCACCGGGGTTGTAATTGTCTCTCATCCCCTGCGGGGTTATTTTGAGTAGGTGGTGAGGAGGGAAATTTCCCTGTGCCTCCTTGTGCCTCCCTGCACCCCAATCAGACCCAAGAACCCCCAGGGACAAGGCCTCCTTGGACACTTTTCACCATGTTCTGTTGAGGGTTTGGGGGGGCTTAAAAAGGCAGTAGCTAGAAAAAGAAACTCTAAAAATTAAAAGGCAGTAGAAGGAATGAATTGGTCACAGCTGGTAGAGGTAGCCCAGAAAGTCTTTAACAATAGGGACACCATGGAGGAGAAATAGGACTAAAGGAAAGAAAAGGCTGGCAGCAAACTAGGAAGGTATTAGTATGCCTATTTTAGGAAGTAGGGGCACTGGAAGAGAGAATATCCTGG